ATGTTGGTTATGGTTTTCATGTCACAGTGGAGTAATAATCACATGATCTAAAGCAAAAGGGGCCTAAGAATGTGACATAGACAAAGGCACTGCCTAAATCCCTTTCCTTCAACCATTAGCATATGACCAATTGCTCCAGGATTTGGTGATTTGAGGGACACCAATGAAGACAGCAAGGATTCTGGGAGCAAGGAAAGTATTTTTGACCATGGCACAGCTTTATTATCGCAGCATTTTTCTGTTATAGCTGCATTCCAGGTATGGCGATTTCTGCATAGTTACATTAGTCCAGCTTGGGCCAATGGCAGTAGGCATGTTCCCACATACTGCAGTGAACTTGGCTGTCTTCCAGGCCCTAAACGAGGAGCAAGCTCCTGTGTGCACTAGGCAGCAGGGCAGTTGCTTGGCATGGGACCAAGAAGACAGTCAAGACTGCTTTAGTAGCAGTGCCTACCATGCTGTTCTCCAGCTTTCACAGAGATCCCAAAGGTTTGGAACATGCAAACTTACATTGGTCCAAGCTGGACCAATGTAAAGCTGGCCATAGAAGTATCAGATCTCAACAGGTTCAGCAGGGATCAGCCGAGATTCAATCCATTTATGGGCAGGCTTGTTGTACCCAATTCAATCCATTAAATCGACATGGGTACAATCAGCCTGTCGGATTTAATTGTACATGCGATTACTCCCAGCGGCTATAGCCACAAGCAGTAATCATTGTGTTGTAGGAAAGCTCCCTGCTGGCACAACACAATAGCGCTGCGGGAGTGATTCACCCACCAACACGGACTGTATTGATAGGTGAATCAAGCTATTTTTTGTGGTGGAAGGAAAGAAAGTCACATTATCTATGGGCTTCTCAAAGAAGTACCCAAATATGACAGGTACCCGCTCCCACTTCTGCTTCGATCTCTTAGTCGATCTCCATCTCTCCCTCCCCGTAGAGTCTTCTCGGACATGACTCGCGGATGTGCAGTGGGCACCCTGAATGTGAAGCTGTCGCAGCTAGTTGCCCACAATGAACAAGCCCGCTGTAGCAAACTTGCTCATCAGAGTGGGACGCGGAGTTCCCCTTTTTCTTATTTTAAAAGTATTCCTCAGTCCTTCAGTCCCTACCCCCTCCCTTCCTGAGAGGCAAACGTTATATATCCTGACAGATGGGGGGTCAACCCAAGTTAAGGCATCCTCAGTCCGGTGCCAGGCAGTCTGCGAAAGTGTAACCTTCCTCATCTAAAGCACTGACCTGAGACACTTGTGTAGGCTCACCCATCATAAAACAGATAAGGCAGCTTCTCCCCGGACTTGAAAGAAATTGAAACCTCACAGAACCTAACAGTAAAGATGACAGAAGAAATGAACATTCCTCAGTCAGGTTTTTTCCCCTATGTTTCATGTCATGGATTATGAGAGATGTTGGTTCTAATTCAGAGTTCTCCTGAGCCCTCCCAAAACAGCGTAATGGCCAATATTCAGAGCCACCCCCCCCTTGCAGAGGGATTTTTAAAAAAGAGACAGGCTGGCAAGCCTAGTAGAAGAAAAACACATCTCCTGAGCTTAACATCGTAACAGAGGAGATCAAAGACCCTTCCTGCTCAGCAACTTGGATCTGCTTACAAACTAAGGCATATTGGCAAGTAACTTAACCCTTTAACTTCCTTCCTATTATCTCTTTGCTGTACCGTTATATGCATATATATAGATCTTAGTGACATCTTTTTCTGTAAATATTTTATTGCACCTGTTTGACTCTTTTAGTAATAAATCTTTCTTTCTGAAAGTGTTAAACTGTTTCTAAGCGCTTACTTGCAATTCACAAATTCCTGCCTTTTGAAGAGACGCTACTGTGTTTTGTTTAATCCTCTGCCCAATCGGCCTGCGGTGACCGTATTGGACAGGCGACTTTTCAATCATTATAGTGTATATTTGATAACGGGAGTTTCCCAGTCTCCGACAAAAGTGGTGGTGGCAGTAGAGGGTTAGTTGCGTAATTAACCCTACCCACTAACAGGCGCATTCAGGCTGCAGGCACCGATTGTAGCCCATTAGCTGGACAATCGCTGTGCAGGGTGCAGCTGGGTGGGGCCTTGTTACACACGTCACACCGCGGTTTTAGATCGGCCGGTCCTTCGGTCACGAGTTGGTGAGAAGGTCTGGGGTCTGACGCCGCGGGTGTGACGTATTACCGTTAGTCGCGGTCGTGCGATCGTGACACCTGCGAAGGGGACACAGGATGGCCATTGAACCCGGCCAGTGTGAGGACACCATGGGGTTGAGGGACAGGTGAGTGTCTATTTTTTTTTTTAAAGTCAGCAGTTACGGTTTTTGTAGCGGTTGACTTATTTTTTTATTTATTTTGACTGGACCTCCGCTTTAACTGTGCAAAAATATCCATAATATCCATACCTGGAATTCAGCTTTAAACTGAGTTTTCAGTGTGTTATTTAGTTATCCTAAAGTTTAAAGTAGGAATAAAAGGGCAAACTTTCTTCTATTTTGAATAGAGGAAGGAAGGGTTATAACAAGTCAGATTTTTTTTTCACCATTTGTGTCTCATTGCAGAGATTTCCCTTCACTCCCTGTCCCATAGCAAAACAGAAAGTGAGAAGAAATCCCTGAAAATTAAAGGGAATTCCTTGGGGACCCCCAGACCACCAGAACTAGTGTCCCCATTGGAAGATTTCCCCTCTATTACTTTTCTGGGGACAACCCAAAATTTGGGACTTTCTTTTACTTTCACTTTCCATGATCATGGTAAACAGGACAAACCGAAGGGAAGAATCTCCTTAATGGGGGGGACAGACAGCGGAAAAAAAAACAAACAGGTGTTCTAATCCTTCTGCACTCAACTTAAAACTTTAAAAAAAGGTTTTGCCTTTAGTTACACTTTAACAATCCTGTTGGGATTGATAAATAAAGGGAACGAGTTGGCTCAAATATTGAGCTTTCCAAAATCAAACAGCCTCAGGTCTTAATCATATGATCACTAAAGGGAGAATCAGCAATGGAAGTTTAGATGCCGTTTTGTTTGCCCTTGAAAGAACAGTATAAGTCTCCTTTTCAAGTTCGCAAAGAGAAATTCTGTTGCAATATTTTTATTGTTAGAAAGCATAACAATGGTTAGCACATCCGCCTGGCAGTACTTGGGTCGTCGGTTCGAATCCAAACCACGGCACCACCTGCCTGGAGTTTGCATGTTCTCCCTGTGCCTGCGTGGGTTTCCTCTGGGTACTCCGGCTTCCTCCCACATTCCAAAGACATGCTAGTAGTTTAATTGGCTCCTGTCTAAATTGTCCCTAGTATGTGTATGTACAAATGAGTTAGGAACCTTAGATTGTACACCCCTTGAGGGTTAGGGACGGATGTGAATGTACAATATATATGTAAAGTGCTGCGCAAATTGACGGCGCTATATAAGTACCTGAAATAAATAACAAGGGAACAGGTATACAACAAGCCTTGTAGGCCCTCCAAAAGGCACAAAATATCCCGCAACGCAGGCAAGTTGCATAATTACAAACATATCACATATAACGAAACATAGGAAATATGCATAAAAACACAGTGTAATCTCTCGGGTTAACTATGTAATAGACCAGTGTTTCTCAACCTTTTTCAGTCCAGGCACCCTTTAAAATTATGGACGGTCCCGAGGCACCCTTTAAAATTATGGACAGTCCCAAGGCACCCTTTAAAATTATGGACAGTCCCAAGGCACCCTTTAAAATTATGGACAGTCCCAAGGCACCCTTTAAAATTATGGACAGTCCCAAGGCACCCTTTAAAATTATGGACAGTCCCAAGGCACCCTTTAAAATTATGGAGAGTCTTGAGGCATATCATTCTAAAATGTAAAAAAGTATTCTAATAGTTTTATATAACACAGCAACATCCACACATGTAGGACACCCAACATTAGAGGTCATTTATTCTTCCAAAGCAAATACACTTTTCAACTCAGGTACTGACTAGTATGCCATTGTTTCTTCTCTCTCTCTGTCTTTCTCCATCACTGAGCTAATGTGACCCCCAGCATTGATGGAGAGGGGTGGGGGAGGGTCACACTAGGATGGTGTGCAGGCACCTAACATCCTCCTTATCAACTGATGATGTCATTGGTTGTCAGGACGCTGGTGGCTAGAAGGTCGTAATGGTGCGCAATGGAAACCTGAGGCTTTGTGTAACTAAAAGGCAGGCTTGATCCACCCGCTGGCTTGTATACAAGTTTTGGGCACTTTTTAGACATTTTTTCAAGGCACCCCTGAAGAAACCTCAAGGCACCCCAGGGTGACTGAGGCTCTATGGAAGAGGCTAGTCCTCGAAACGCGTCAGCCATTTTGGATGTCCATCATTCTCATCACCAGAAATGCAGTGCGAATTGGACAGAGCGGTCTCATATGAAGTGCTTATATTCATGTACTTTTGTGAGTAAAATATCTTCTTTTAAATTTAATAAACACACTTTTAAGGTGATGCACAAGGCCGGTGCGCCCTCTGTTTTGTTTTTCTCTATTAGTACTTTTGGACTCCCCGGTTCTTTGAGGGCGGCAAGGCGTGCCTATCCCAAGACATTCGTTGTGTGAGTCCATCCCTAAGCGCAGGAGTATTTGGGTTTTCCACTTTCACATGACTGGGCAACCCTGGTTAAGAAAGGCTGTAATAGACACCCACTTAGCGGGCGTCCATCAAATTGGGGGGTCAAAAGACTGGGACGGCTAAAACGAGCCCCAGATATCATAACACAACTACCACAGTGCCCCTACAGCTGGTATAGAAAAGAAAAAAAGCCATCACCTCGTACATAGAAGTATAACCTGCAAGAAGGCAGTAGCCCAGCAAGGGACAAAATATCAATAAGCAGTAATAACTAAAGAAAGAAAAAACAGGAAACAGGAATAAAAAAAAAAGCAAAAGAAAAATTCTAAGTGGTGGGTGGGAACCGTTCAGACTTTCACAAATATGAGGATCATCATCACTCAGCCCTTGTCAGCACCCTCTTACCCGGCTTCTTTAGAACTTAGCATTTTGGCCCAGATGAGGTCTGTGTCCACGGTCTCCTCTCGAGGGTTAGTAGAGCTAACCTGAAGCATTAGACTTTCACATGGAGCTCCAGTGAGTGTGGCCAACCCCTCAATGGCTCTGCCAGCCTGGAGGGCGAAGTAAGATCCATGGAGCTTTGCTAGGGCCTTCTCTATCAGAGCCACCCACAGCTGCTTCCTTTGGGCCTGTATGAGAAATAAAGATCACAATGCTTAAAGGTCATGTAAATCGAACCCTAACTGAGTAACATTTCAGCACAGAAACAATTGCCATGTTTTTCGTTAAGAAGATATGGTTTTTACTGCTTTTTTGTGCCTATAAGAACTGCTGATCTCCTGAAGCCTCTTTGAAGCCACTTCCTATTCACATGCATTCTAGCAACTGCTGCTGATCGGTTCACACGGCGAGTTTCCTGATGGTGACAACAGCAGACTTTACATGTGTAATGTGTGCTGACGGCCACTTTTATTCTCCATTGGAGGAGCATGTGAAAGGGGGACAATGCAGGAGCGAAACTGGGAGAGGAGGGCAGTGTGTTGTCACCTTGTAACACGGACCGTCATGGCAAGATCATCAGGTGTTACTTGAAAGCTACAAATGTAAAAATAATGAAATGTACTTGTAAAGTGGATCTAAAGTGGAACTTCACTCTCTCAATCAACATGGACTATTTTTACTCCTTACACTACCAGTTTTAGTAAATATTTAGGAAAGTATATCATAGTTACTTGTTTTAAACTTTTTAACATTTCTTCAGTTACTTCCTGGATTCCTGCCTAGGCAAATCAGGTCATACATCCCAGGAGTCCTCAGGAGGGGAGGGAGGGTTTTCAGCTCAGCCAATGCCTGAGCTAAGGGCAGATGGATTGCAGGAAGTAAAAGCTACATAATTTATCTGCCCTTATTCAAGATGGCCACTGCCAGAAATGCTAGGGGGTGTTTTTTTAAAATGATTTCTCAGCAAAATAAAGCATGGACACATGGATGGATGGGTGACTTTGCTATGAATATTAACAATGAATTAAACAGCATTTTTGGTTTGTGGTGCTTAGAGGCTGTACAGTTCCATTTTAAGGCTTTCTTACCCTAATGCATGCTCTGCATTAAAGTACATAACCTTCTGTGTCCAAGATCCACCCCCAGCCTCCCTTATACTTACCTCCGATCTCAATTCAGCGCTGTGCCCGAGAGCAGAGGCTCTTTTGCCCCCCCCCACTCTGAGGACTGACCGATAGCAGTACGAACCATTACCTCCTACTGCTGCTAATCATATTCTATGATGAGGGAGCCGGCTTGGGAGCGAGACTACATGAGTCCCCTATAGAAATCGGCTTCCTATGGGAGCACTCCCTGAAGAGGAGGAGCCAGGGGTGCTGGCAGGAGACCCCATAAGAAGATTGGGGCTGCTCTGTGCAAAACCATTGAACAGGGCAGGTAAGTATGACATTTTTTTTTTTTAATAATAACCATGTTAAGGTTTAGAGTCACTTTCGATATGGTAAGGATGATAGTGATCGGGTTTATATACACTTTAAAGCGGAGCTCCACTCAAAAGGGGAAGTTCCGCTTTAAGGACTACTCCCCCGCTCCCCATTAAGGATTGGCACCTTTGGGGGACGGGGGGGTGGGGGGTGGGGGAGTACCTGAATTTGACAGGTACCCACTTCCGGTCCGATCGCCTAGGCGACCGAAAGCGGAAGGTGTCCTCCCTCCCTCCCTGTAGTCTTTTGGGAAACGTGACAGGTCCCAGAAGACTACAGGACCATTAGGAAGCGCAGCGCTACTCGAGCATGCGCAGTGGGCACCTGGCTGTGAAGCCGCAAGCTGTCACATCCGGGTGCCCACACTGAGGATGCCGGCGCCAGGGAGAGAAGATGGCCGGTGAAACCAGCGGTGGTGAGGACACTGCGGGACCGAGGGACAGGTAAGTGACTGTATTTTAAAAGTCAGCAGCTACAGTTTTTGTAGCTGCTGAATTTTTTTTTTTTTCTTCTCAGGTCAAACTCCGCTTTAAATGAAGCCGCAACTATCACAGCCGGGTGCCCACACTGAAAATGCCGGCCTCCTGGAATACAGGACGGCCGGTGAAGCGGGCTGCGGGAAACACACCACGGGACCGAGGGACAGGTAAGTGGCTGTTTTTTAAAAGTCAGTACAGTTTTTGTAGCTGCTGACCTATTTTTTGAGAGCAGGAGCGGAACTCCGCTTTACAGTTAAACCTCACCATTTCACTCCCATCACTTCCCAGTTTATTAATGGCACTTTGTTTCAAGGTATTGACATTTTATTCCTTTATGTGCAACTGCTATGTGGGAAGAGCTTAAAATAGAAAATGTCTTTAGGCTTCCCTGCATGCACTGATTTTGTTTCTGAGGTACTGTAGCTGTGAGCTGAACTGTGCGTGACTGCTATCTGCTTTCAAATCAGAGTAAATACCACTGGCCATGCAGTTCTGTATACATAGGATCTCTGATGTGTAAATACCACAATGGCAGCCATGGAGATACATACTGTACACAGAGCAGATGTATGAACAGTCATTCCATACAGGTTAGTACTGAAACCATGAAGTCTGGTACGTGTGTTAACATCTGAGTTGCATGGCCTAAAGCGGAACTGTGTGGGCAGCACAGTGGCTAAATGGTTAGCATTTCCGCCTGGCAGTACTAGGGTCATTGGTTCGAATCCCAGCCATGGCACCATCTGCCTGGAGTTTGCATGTTCTCCCTGTGCCTGCGTGGGTTTCCTCCAGGTACTCCAAATACATGCTGGTAGGTTAATTGGCTCCTGTCTAAATTGTCCCTAGTATGTGTATGTATGAATGTGCGTTAGGGACCTTAGATTGTACACCCCTTTAGGGTTAGGGACTGATGTGAATGTACAATATATATGTAAAGTGCTGCGTAAATTGACGGCGCTATATAAGTACCTGAAATAAATAATAAATAAATAAATAACTAAAGCTTGAAAAAAAAAAAAATGATTGCAGAAAAGACATGCAATGTCACTTCTGCAATAAAACATACTTATCTGCCCGTTTGCAATCCTCAGCTAAATGTACACAGAACTGTGCATGGAATGATGTCATCTGATGCCAGCCAATCAAAAGCGTTTGCAAATTTTTTTTTTAACTCTTCCAGTTCCCGATGCTGTCCAGAGCATTTTTTGATCATGAAAAATGCATGCAAAGCGTTTTCAAGGCGCTCAAATGGACAAAACACTGAACACAGGATATTCCTACCAAGCTTGTCACACATTGTAATGACCAATTCACACCTCAGGCCTCTCCCACCCTTGGAAACAAAAGATATGTTAATGACCATTCACACCTCCAATTCCTCATGAAGACCCCCCCCTGCCAGGTGGCCTTAATGACTCCCTCCACCAGACACCTTTCCCACCCTTGGAAACAAAATAAATGTTAATAAGCAACTCACACCTAAGCTAATCTCAACACATACTGCTGTCTCTGCTTCTACTCTCTGTATTTCTCTGAAACAGTCTGAAATAGTTAATAATTTATCACTTTTCAGTGCATTCTGAGCGTTTGGGAGGTTCTCTTGTGCTTATCTTTAAAAAAATGCTTCTAAACGCAAACGCACATAAACACCTTATGCAAACACTTTTTTTAACCTATGTTTTCCAGCAGTCAGTTTCCATCGTTCAGAAGTGTCCCGTGTACATGGGGCCTTATACTGCAGACCTGTGTAAACGTTTGCAACTTCATTCAACTATGATAACAGTGACTTGTCTTAGAAACACATTTCACTACAGCTTCTCCTCAGCTGACAGCGGTAATGTTATTGGCATCCGCATGTCTATCCACATAGAAGTACTGCAACTTGCCACCTACCTGGGAGAAGAGCAGGTATCCAGCTTCATCGCAGGGCAGCATGTCATCCACGAGGACTGTGCTCCACGTCCCATCTTTGCATAGTCGAACCTGATAGGCTCCTTCTGGGCAGATTGTCCTTGTGATCATCACCCTCTCCACCAGCTCCGGCCTTTCTGCTAGCACAGCCAACGCACTGAGGAACCTGTAAGGATAAAGGCATTGTACACAGTCAACATCCTTCTCTTCCTCGGACCTCAAGAGTTTCCACGGGTATGTAAAAAGATTTTCTATACATTTTTCTTTACTGATATATCATGTTCAGCACTTTCAAAATATGTCTAATATTTATTATAAGGTTAATATGAAATATCATTTGTAAAAAAAAAAGTGAGCTGTCCTGTTTATATTAGACCACCTTTTTTGGTTACACAAGCAGACAGCAGAACGTCGGGGAGGAGGGGATTCCCCTTCCATCCATTAAAGCAGAGTTCCACCCAAAAGGGGAAGCTCCGCTTTAAAGCGGAGTTCCACTCATGCTGTCAGAAAATAAAAGTCAGCAGATACAAAAACTGTAGCTGCTGACTTTTAAAAAAACAGCCACTTACATGTCCCTCGGTCCCGTGGTGTGTCCCCCACAGCCCGTTTCACCGGCAGTCCTGTATTCCAGGAGGCCGGCATCTTCAGTGTGGGCACCCGGCTGTGATAGCTTGTGGCTTCACAGCCGGGTACCCACTGCGCATGTGCGAGTAGCATTGCGCTTCATGAATGGTCCTGTAGTCTTCTGCGACCTGTCACGTGTCCCAAAAGACTACAGGGAGGGAGGACACCTTCCGTTTCCAATCGCCTATAAGTGGGAGCGGGTACCTGTCAAATTCGGGTACCCCCCCCCCAAAGGTGCCAATCCTTAATGGGGAGCAGTCCTTAAAGCAGAACTTCCCCTTTTGGGTGGAGCTCCACTTTAAGTACTGGTCCCCTGCTCCCCTTGAGGAATTAGCACCTTTGGGGAGCGGGTACCCATTCTCACTTCTTCTACAATCTCCTAGGCGAACAAAAGCAGACGTTGTCCTCCCTCCCTGTAGTCTTCTGGGACACGACAGGTCACAGAAGACTACGGGACCATTCACAAGGTGCAGCACTACTCACGCATGTTCCCACACTCGGGATTCTGGTGCTGGGAGCAAAATTTGGCCGGCAAAAGGGACTGCGGGAGGAAACCGCTGGATTGAGGGACAGGTAAATGGCTGTTTAACTCCATTAACTCCAGATCAACAAAGCAATTCAACAGGTAGGCTTTTACCTCTGAGTTTAAAGCAGAGCTCCACCCAAAAGAGGAAGGTCCGCTTTAAGTCTTTGTCCCCCGCTCCCCATTAAGGATTGGCACCTTTGGGGAGTGGGAGGAAAGGGGCTACCTGAGTTTGACAAGTACCCGCTCCCATTTCCGCTGAGATCGCCTAGGTTATCGGAAGCAAAAGTTGTCCTCCACCTCCCTCCTCGTAGCCTTCTGGGACACGTGACAGGTCCCAGAAGACTACGGGTCCATTCACAAAGCGCATCGCTTCTTGCGCATGTGCAGTGGGCACCCGGCTGTGAAGCTGCAAGCTGTCACAGCCGGGTGCCTACACTGAAGATGTCGGACTCCTGGAATCCAGGATGGCAGGTGAAACGGGCTGCGGGGGACACATCACGGGACCGAGGGACAGGTAAGTGGCTGTTTTTTAAAAGTCAGCAGCTACAGTTTTTGTAGCTGCTGACTTTTATTTTTTGACAGGATGAGTGGAACTTCGGAGAGAAGACGGCCAGTGAAACCAGCCATGGTGAGGACACCACTGGACCGAGGGACAGGCAAGTGGCTGTACTTTAAAAGTCAGCAGCTACAATTTTTGTAGCTGCTGACTTACTTTGTGTAAGTTGTGACTGGAGCACCGCTTTAAGTACAGAGCTAGTACGGGGCTTTCTTGGACAGCCCAGCAACTCCGTGTTAATGTCTTATTTGTAGAAAGCACAAAAAGTTCAGAAAATAGTAAAAAAAAAAAAAAAAAAGCCATGACATCATCAAGGAAAAAGCAGGGTTCATAGGACCAGGTGCAGGGTGGAGGATCATGTAGGTAAAACAGTTTCTCCTTCCTCTAAACAAGCTATTAACCCTTGCAGTGGAGGGCAGATCATCTTTTACTTTGCCCGGAGTTGGGCTTTAATACAGAAGAAAATCAACAAAGTGACCTTAAGTGTTCCATTTCTGTTCGGGAAGGTAAGGGGGGGTGCTATGCTTGCACACAAATGCCCAGCTATAATGGGGGGGGGGGGTATATCATTGTCATTTATTGGGATAATGGTCACAGTTGGCAGCATGCATCGTATTGAGGGACTATAGAAGAAGCTCTTGTTTGCAGCACACACGCAGGGCAATACATACGGGAGGAATGGAGGTAGAATACACAACTGTAAACAAGGAGCGGATCTCTCTCACTGTATTACAACCTGCCCACTTTAGACATGGTGGGAAGTGCAGATACCCAAATGGAAGAAAATGTGAGCAAGTCTCTGGGCTTCTCAGCTGAATACTAATCATCTATAAATTTAAAGTGCAACTCTAGTAAAAAGAAAAAAGTTTTAGCTGCTTTGGGCAGAATGGGGAAGGATTAAAACCTCTCCTCTATCCGCTTTCTATTCCTGTCTGCACCCCTGTTGGGAAAGATCTCTTCTCTTCCTTGCCTGGTAACTAGGACAGGAACATGGAGAAAACTTCCCCACGGGGACACAGACAGCAATAACAATTCCGAAGGAGGTTGTAACCCTTCCCTACTCTGCCCAAAATAAAAAAAAGCTTTTGGCTGGAATTGGGCTTTAAGGGCTTGTTTACATTAGCGGTTGGGGGTGGTAAAACCATGCAGTTGGGCTGTGTTTACTGCCTCTCAACGTCTCCCTCCTTTAGCTGGAGGGTATGCACATGCCTTGCTTTGTGGCCACGACAGGAACTATACCCCAGTCATGTTCGGCAGGAACTACTGCGACCCATTCAAGGGAACGGGGCTGTGCGGCGACCGTCCCACAAACTGCATGCGATGCGCGGTAGTCCAACTCCTCACCGCCTAACAAATGTTCTCTGAAGAGAGATCCGAACGTGCATCTCTCTTCACAGAGCAACACAAATGTAAATGAGGCCTGAAAGCAACAAAGTCGCAATCAGGGGCGGACTGACAACTCATGGGGCCCCCGGGCAATAGGAGATCATGGGGCCCCTGTGTCCTTGCCCAAACTCAAAAAAGCCTATAAAAAAGGTACCAGGGGTATCTCATGGGGCCCCCTACTGACCCCGGGCCCTCGGGCAGTGCCCGAGTTTCCAAATGGTCAGTCCGCCCCTGGTCGCAATCATTTTATTTTTGCTCTTCCAAGTTTGACACAATGTAAATAAAGATCCAGGGAATGGAGGGAATCAGAGGGATGTTCTGCGTGTCACTAATTGATGAATATCTTCCACTTTATTAATCAAGGTGAAGCACCATCACATTGATTCCTGTTGGTGTTGGTTGTAGCTGAAAAGCATGGGCAATCATTTTAGACCTTTAATGAAGAACATTTAACATCAGATCCTCCAACACTCAAAAATGAAATTAAAATATGACACATTCTTTTATTTGAGATTACAGTGAAGCACAGACTACAAGAGAATTACTGAAAGTGTCATGGAGAAAAGAAAACTGAACTCCAGGCTAAACAAATCCTGAAAGAATACAAGAGGCAAGTGTGCATCCTTGCTGAAATTGTGATCTCCTTCCAGATTTGTGCAGTAATCCAGCATAAAACAGCTCTTGTATTTAGCCTCTGTGTTGGAGCTTCCTGTAATGCAGACCGGTCACTGCTGGGCTCCTTACTTGTTCCAGGTGACTGGTCTCTTCTCTGCCCCCTCCTGTAGAAGGCGGACCATTTGGGTCCAGCTCAGCTCTCTGCACAGGTCATATGCAACACGTAGATAATGCAGGGGCGTGGAAATTTTTAAAACTACTACTTATATATATATATATATATATAAAAAATTAGGTTATTATTAAAATGTTAACTGTGTGCCGTTTTCACTAAGCAATGTGCCGGTTTTTATTCCCTGCTTTGCAGGGAGACAAAAGCCAGCATATCGCTGCTCTTTGTAGAGAGCCCTGTGTTGGTAAACAACACAGGGCTAATCTCCTGTCATTTGCTCTCTCGATCAGTGGGTCCCGGCCATAAATCATTGGCCAGGAGGCAGGACCTAGTGATTGGCATGTGCTGGAGCAAATGACAGCACAGCTGGGATGGCAGGTGCATGCTCCCCCTACCAGGAAGAGCCAGATTGCTGCTTGCCCGCAGAAGGGCTAAATTTATAAAAAAAACAAAAAACAAAAACACACCTGCTCAGGACCCGGAACGGCATGTCTCGGGCGTCAGGTGATATAATTTGCGCATCCCTGTGAAAGGAATGGTGGGCACCTCCAGCAACAAACCAAATGCAGCAGAATGTATATGGACTGTCCCCACTAGGTCACAGGCCCAAAGCAGCAGTGCAGCCATCACCTGTTCATCACCTGGCCACCATATGCATGTGATGGGTGGTAAGTTTGCTTTGGAGGAACAGTGCAGCAAGGTGAGGGCAGCAGGAGATCCAGTGATTCTCATGCTGCCCTAGGCTGTGTGGCTGTGGCAGGACAGGAAGAATCTGAAGACAATGCAGTTTCACCTGTGTTTGCCTCTTTGGGGGGGGGGGGGGGGAATGGAGTAATTCCAGCACTCTAGCCAGCTGCCCCACACTCCCAGCCTACTCTCCAGCGGTAAGGAAGGGGCAATAGATCAAGCCCTGCATCTACAGCCGCAACCCCAGCACCCAGCTGTCAAACTGGGGAGGAGATGTTGGAGGTGGGTGGGCTGTGAGCGCAGGCAAGGGAAGCCGTCAGTCACGATGGTGGGTGCCGCTGCAGTGACTGCTCACCACAGTTCCACCCACTATCACTGGTTCTCGGGGAAATGCACACAAACAAGATGTCGGGCGTTGTATCGTGCTACAGCAGGCCACAAAACCGCAGGCCACAAAACCGCAGCCTCAATTACCGACCAGGAGATGCATGCACCCGCGGGGGGTGGCACCAGACCCAGACAAGCAGCCAGAAAAGACCCCGGCT